CCATTGCGTAAAGACGTGGTTTGGGTAAGTGTAACATCTACAACGACGGTTTTAGAGATGTTTTATGTTTCGGGGGCTATTTATCAAACCAAGCTCATTATTACATTTTATATGAAAATTAACTACAAATACGTAGTTGAAGCGTGTTAGTTAAGGAATTTCGGAAATGAAACCTGAACAAAAGACGTGGTTTTGGCGAGCATTATACCCACAACAATGGTCTTTAGACTTTACAAGTTTGGGGAAATGAAACCTGAACAAAAGACGTGGTTTTGGCGAGCATTATACCCACAACAATGGTCTTAGGGACTTTACAAGTTTGGGGTTGCTGTTTTCATGACGCAACACCTTACAATTTATATGACAATGAAATACACTTTCGCTTGCCAGTTATTAGATAAGGGGTGGTTTATTGATCGCTTTTAAGAATTTTTCTCTATTGGACCGATTTTGTTTATTCATCCTTTGATCGACGCACACTTTTGTTTTCTTTTTTTTTTACTAAGAAGTGTTATTCATAAAATATGCACCGTTTTCAAGTTTTAAGGGGAAAACTGAAAAAAGTCGGAAACATTTTGAGGTTTTTTGGCTGCCAAATGGTGTGCCGGGAAAAAATTGGAGTGCACTCTTCAAATCCATGTAATTTGGACCCGAATGGACCATTTAACATAATAAAATCTTATACACCACCTTTTGCAGGTCAAAATTATTTGTATACTGGACTAAAAGTGTTTTGCCGCAAAAAAGTATTTCGGAAACCTCTTAACTTAATTTTTTATATTGAAAAATTTGTAGTTATTTGAATCATAAAAAAGTATATTTCAATCAAGTCTCGTTAAAAGAAATCATTTTTGAACAATGAAAAACAAAAAACACGGTTTTTCGCGATTTTTTCGGTTGTGTGAGAAAGTGACTGAAAAGAAAGTTATAGTTTTTCACGATCTACAGCTTTTCCAGTGAATACTTTTGTCATACGATTTTCACCCTCACCGAAAACTTAGTCTCACCCCCCTGCTCGCGTATTTAATTCTTTTTGTATTAGTCTAGGGAATAGAGGGTTTTAACGTGCAGTCATCTGGTGGTTAAGAATCTAAGTTTCGACCTCCCACCCTTTGTGCTTCCTCCGTAGCACCCCCCAAAATCTCCGAAATTTGATTGGTTTCTTAGTTTTTCAATCATATCTTTTTAATGGTTCACTTTAGAAAAAAATATTGTTAACAAATTGTAGACCATAAAATTCTACACAACTTTGATATACACGATTTTTTGTGAAATGTTAATTAAAAAAAGATATACAGCTTCAAAGTTGCTTATATTTTTAAGAAATTTGAAATTTCTATGTAGATGTTTTAATCAAATTGTATACCTTATGTCTATAATTTTGAGTTTTATGAGAAAATATCTTGAACTTATCGTGGTATAAATCCCCATACCTTGTACCCTTACCAAAGGGGATGCATAATAATTCAACTTTCAACCCTTGCTAATAGGGATATTTGAATCACTGTGAGATTGTAGCGCTGTCTAATATACGTTTGGAATAAAAAAATTGTCTCACTTCAGTTCAGCTTCATCCCTCCCCCACCCCCTTTCCTGGATGGAAATGATTTCGGAATCTTCAAAATAAAGACAACTTTGAAGCTTGGTATCTTTTGAAATAAAAAAATTACGAAAAAGAAGTATATAATAAATTTGTGTAAAATTTGATGGTCTACAATTTCTAATATATTTGTTTGTAAAGTGAACCTATAAAAAGCTATGATTGGAAAACTAAAAAACCAACCAAATTTCTTTGAATTTGGAGGGTAAGGGGGAACCACAAGGGGTGGGAGGTCGAAAACTTGGATTCTTAACCACCAGATGACTGTCTATGACATGCAAAATAAATTGGAACTACTTCTCTTAGATGCTGTACCAAAAAGTTCAAAAAACGGCCTAAAGTAAAAGTTTCCCTTCAGTTTCAAATGATTTTATACAGCCCACATATTATTTGGTAAAAAGTTACACCATTTTAAACGTCGGGTTTGGGTTGGACATGGGAGGAAAGTGTGTAGGTTTTTCAGTTTGCCATCAAAAAAGGTTGCTTTTATTATCTTATTAAAGTGAACGATTCCAGAGTTACGGAGGGTGTAAAAGTAACAAAAAATTCCCTATAATGTGCATATGTTGTCCATCAGAAAGTAAGTAAAGTAAGTAAGTAAAGTAAGAAAGTAAAAAGGTAAAAAGTAAGAAAGTAAAAAGGTAAAAACTGCCCATTCTAGATATTTTTACGTAGAATCCAGTGGCGTAGTAGAAATAAATATTTTCACCACAGTTTCTCAGATTTGACCTAAAGTTGGTATTTTTTAAATGATGTATATCTTAACGTCAATTTTTCGTATTCTTTTTCCGATTACATTAATGTATCAAAATATCTAAAAGAAACAGTTTTGACATCTTTCTAATGGGTAGTAAGATTACGGTAACATCGCAAAAAATCAAGCTTTTCGTTTTCACCCTGTATCTAAGAAACAAACGTAGTTAAATTGATTCTGTTTGTGGCATTAAAGTATCACAAGAAAGTGGCAAAGGGTCGCCGAAACCCCAAGTCTCTATCATTTAAAAGAGCTGAGATACACCGCAGTCTCGAGCAAAATAGGATACACACTACACAGTAGGTAGTTATTTAGAGAGGAAACACATATACAAATCATCGTTTCTAAGTACTTTTGTTTGTTTTAGGTAATGCTATATCCCACTAATGTATTCATTGCAAATTTACACAAAGTTGTGATGATTTATTTTTAGGGTCTATTTTTATTCTCGCAAGTAAAGCTTTTTCAAAATCATTTAAGGAGTTGGAATTCGATTAAAAACCAATGAAATTGCGAACTGAAAATTCAATTCGATACTTTTGCAAATGAGTTGTGCAATCTAAAGCTTAAAGACCGTATGGAAAGCTCCAATTGTTCACCGCTCTGCTAATTAAAAATAATTGTTACTGATCCAATAAGTAGCTTCTAAGGTAAAAATCTCATTTATTATGGATTTAATCTTAAATATTTATAATAGTCCAGTGATTCCAAATGGGAAAGATTCTAGTAGTACTGAATCCAAATTTGAAATATATATTCGAAATTACTCTTTTTTTTTGGTATTTTGTGCATTTAGAGAACTTTCAAATCCTTCAAGCCAGTAGTTTCTAGAAGCTTCCCAAAGGATTCAACAGCAAAAGGGTCTTTAAAAATGTTCAATCCTCCAAGGGTATTATAGAGGTTTTGAAAGATTTTAATTGGTTTGTCGAGCAGTATTTTTCTTTAAAAGCTCTTAATATTGAATTAATAGTCGTAAAGTGTCTCCAAAATCGTAAGAATCTTTCAGTGAATAGACACTCTGGTCTCTCTTATACCTTCTTTGCGAGCTTTTGAAGGCTTTTAAGGATCTTAAATGCCCACAATTTCGAATCTACGCATCGGATTCAAAGGACCGTTCTATCTATTAAACTTTAAGCTGGTCCTGATGTTGGACGCAATTTTCTAGAAATTTCCACACGTTTCTCCAATTTGGCACATTTCCATTTTGAGAGTGGTCTGGAAAAATATCCACCTCGTTTCGAATTGTGGGCAAACACATAAAAGTGCTAAAATTTCGTTGTTATTTGCAAATATCTTGAAAAGTTTCAGCGAAATTATTTTCGAAATTCTAAAAAAATACGGTGCATTTTCGCCACCGTTTGACCGTACTATAAGCATTTTGTCGACATACGAGGGCAAGTTCCAACGTAAACTTTTCACAGAAAAAAAGATTCGATCACCGAGTTGCAGTTAAACTATCAAAGCGCACTTGTTTAGCTCTGGAACGAAGGTGTAATTGGGCTAATGATTCTCTGTATCAACAGAATGCTATTTGTTAAAAATTTTTACTCCTCACCCCTTTTCCAAATTTTGTGAAATTGCCAAATCCCCAGTTCGTATTGAGATCTTCTATAGTTTCACTTTTTATGATTACCCTATTTCCGATTTCCTTGCTATTTTAATCCTATTGAAGACAAAACAGTCTGGACCAAGATTCGAACTCTAAACTACGGACATTTTACCTCTTTTGAGAGTTGAGACTGTCATTGGTGTTTCAGAAATACAAAATTTGCGAGCAGACGGACAGACTAATGACAAGTAATGAAGGGTTGGCATGTACCTACGCGGAGGTAGTTCTCTTTCGTTTTATGCGATTTCCGTTACGATTGCGTAGAAAGAGTAACCGACATACTTAAGTATGACAACGAAGAAACAAACAGTGACTATGTTATTTTATCATTGGGTCTAACATTCAAAGATATTGTATAATCTAACCCAGTTTGCATGTATTCTCCCAAATACGCCACCAAAGTGAAAAGCACTAAATAGTTGTGTCAAAGGAGCGCCAGGATTGGTAATTCGTGTACAATGCACAAAGAACAAAATTTCAGTGAAACCAAATTACAATTTTAATTTGTAAAGTTAGTGGAATAATTTCCGGGAAATTTACTACCAGGAAATTTCTGCGATCTCATTTCTAATTTCGCCTAAATTACCGAAATTCTCAGCCAGCATATTAATAAATTATATCGTTGTCCAAATTATTGTATCTTACCAATCTACTTTCGAATGCAGTAGTAACTTACGCAACACGCGTAACGGCTGTAATGCCCACAGGTTTAGAAACATTTTACAAGACATTACTTTTAAACTTTTATTTACATTTACATTTATTGCAGATGATATTGAAATGGAACACTTCTTTCGTGATAGATAGAAAGTATGAGCGATCTAGATTAAGTACTTGATAATGACCAATTTCTTTTTCGTACCCCAAAACGAGTTTAAAAAAGTGAGAGTGAACGAATGAGTTGTGGAATTTGAAAGTGTCAGGTACCTACTCGTTCTTCCTGATTAATAAACACAATACAGGCTATTTTGACTATACCTACACGAAAAGCTAAGTTTGCGCTTTTGTGGGACCTAAGGGGGTCACAAGAACCTTACCCTAATAAGGTCGAACAGGAAGTTTCCAGAACCTCCCGCTGAACCTTGCCCATCGCCTCCGAAGGGCAAATATCTCTTATTTCTCTCCGAGTCTTCCGCTTCTACATCTGAAAGGTCTTCGGCGGGATCTGGACCGGGAGCAACTGCTTGTCGGTCACTTGCGGCTTCTCTGACTTTACGTACATTTCTCGTGACTTCTATCGATGGCGACTAAAACAAATTATGGTAAAGATTTACGATTTGCAAATGGCGAGTGTTAGCAAAGCGTGCGTTGTTAGTAAAATATCTCAATGATCTTCCCATAACGTCAATTCTATGAGAAAAAATTATGACAGAATGCTCCCGTATTGGGAATAATGGATGACGCCTACGCAACGGTCAGTGGATTGCGTTCAAGCTCATTCGGGTTGAATGAGTACGTGAATGTTTGAAAATTAAGATCTCACTGTCAGCATCTCGTCAAGATTTACGACTGTCGTTGGTGAGGCAGTAGTCGTACCATCAGTCTCGTTACTAACCACTTTGTCTTCACCGTCAATCTCATTAATTTCCTGCAGTGCACTTAACGGATTCGGCGCCGGCGAGCTTGTGCGATTGATAATAGGAACATCGCCATCGTCATCGTCGTCATCATCTTCATCCTCATCCGGTGGGAACGTGGGCAAAACCACGCTGACACGTCCACCACCTCCAGATCCACCCGAACCGCCGCCGCCGCCGAGACCACCAGAACGAAGAAGCGCACCTCCTACCACGCGAAACACTTGACTGGTCACATTCTGTATCACGTTGTCGATCACCTGAAAAAATAATTGCAAAGTGAAAAGCTTCTTAAATATTGACAAGGTTAATTGCAAGCATTATAATATCAGAAGAATTTCGTTACGCAACGCGCCGATTAATTAATTCCACGCTCAACAAACCGGTACCGACTACAATTTCTTGAGTTTCAATCGCGTTATGTAAACGCACTCAAAGAATATAAAATGCAATAGACTGGCCGATTGGAAAAATCCGTGACACACTTAAATGCATATAATGAAGTAATAACACTGTCTACTAAATGCTCTGTATATTTTGTTACAAATATTATGATACTATAGCTTAGGGATACTAGGGTACTATTGTGCCCTTTTAATGTACCCCATATTTTAAGGTCAAACAGGATGATATAACAAATACCAGATGCGTGCGTTATACGAAGGGAGAAGTATTTCTGTTTTTCTCTGTGAAAAGGTCTTCCGATATCTCAACTGTAGTACTTACCTACCCTTTTTTCTTCCAGAATTTGAAAAAATTATAATACACTGTGTTTGAGATAATAGTCACCCCAATAACTCTTTCATTTAACCAGAAAAATTTGTCAAATATCTATCATCTTGTATGTGATATTACGATCTATCGGATCGCATTTGGAGGGAACTTTTGTTTTTCAAATGTCTGTTTTTTTCGTAAAGAACAATCAACTGCTGTACGACATAAAATATGCATATGGATGAAATAACAAAAAATGGAGAAATTTGTGATTCAATATTTAGAAAACTTATGAAATCATAGCTCCTTTTGTAGATTTAATTTTGCACAACCGACACCGTGCATCCTGAGCACACGGTATGCCAGATTTCATAAGTTTTCCAAGTAAATTGATTACTGTTTTTAAAGATCTTAAAAACATAGGCATTGCATTTGAAAAAAAAGTTGTTCAGACGTAAGTGATACCGGAATATTTAATCGGATAGATCGTGCTGTCGCATACAAATATATTTGGCCATTTTGTCGAATATGACCAAATACGTTTTCAATTCTGAAACGTCAAACGTGGTTACAATTTTTAGGGCATAGGCCTTTTACTATCAGAAATATGCAAAAATCTACAGGGTGTACGGGTCAATTTATATTTAGCTATTTAGTGTCCTGTGAAAACAACGAGTTTCTAAAAGAAAACACTTCCGTATAAAATAAGTTCTTTATAACACGTAAAGGTTTAAGGTATTCTGAACTTTTTAAGAACTAGACATCAAACCGTTTTGTTCCAAAGAAAAACAAAGAATAAGACGCGTTTTATAACGCTTTCCTAATTTTAAGCAGAAACTTGCTAAAAGACACCAATAATTTAATTTCTTTACGACATGGCAAACGCACAGTGCTTTAATTTCTGATTTTGGCTTGCAATTACTTTTCGAAAATGCTCCGTAAGCTTACAGTGTCTGAAAACTCCTGAAGCAGAAGGGCACAAACTGTATTCTCGCCCTGCTTCCGTATAGCCATTGCAACAGTTTAACATTGTGTATCCAAACTTTAATCCTCAAAGGCACAACACAAAAATAGATACTATCTTTTCAAAGCTATACCACAAATAAAGCACTTTAAACGCAACAAACATACCATTGTGTAGTATTGCTGTTGAAATTGTTTTAGGATTTGGAATCCTCAAAAAGCATTCTTCTTTCTGGAAACGCAATTAACGCTAAAGTTTGTTTCCTTCGCAATAACAATGTTTAAGAACTCCAGTTATTTCAACGACTCTCAAATCGAAAACGTTCAAGGTTTTAAATTGTTTGGATTTTAATTCCTTTTAATTTTTTCTATTCCGCCTAATAAGGTTTGATCGCTCAATATTATTTCCGCGATCTGTAATTTCTACCCGTGTAGGGCCGGGAAAGAATAACCCTACCGCAGAGGGCACTGCGTGTCGTAAGAGGCGACTGAATAATTGCAATCTCGAAGAATGGGAGGTAAAATGGCCTGAATGAGTTGATATGATTCCCTTCCAAAGTTTAGTTCTCCCAAAAGACGAAGGAAGAGTGTGAGGATTGTCTAGATATATTAAAAGTTCCCTACGGAATTTTTCAGCTCGTTTCAGTTTTAACTTGAGACGCAGGGGCATTTCTTTTTTCTTTTTAAGCTTGAATTTAAACAAAATATTATAACGATGGGAGAAATTAAATGCAAATATTGATTAATATGACCAAGCTTACCGATAAATGAAAGGTTAACTTACAACGTTTTTGAATTATCTTTAGCTCTAGTGGAACGCCTATAAAGAAATTTTATTCAGTTTAAAAACAAAGCGATTTATTTATTTTATTTAAATAATTTGAGCTGCCAACGGGTCAAGCCCACACAAGGCATCTACAATTTACAATAGCAGAAAATAATAGGAAACTACAAAGAAAACTAAAGAAAGCTATTTATAAACTTAACTGACAACTTTCATAGACATTTATAGACTGACATTCGTTCTGTTTTTATATTACTTTTTATCAAAGATAGGCTTCCATGAAAAACATCTATCCGGCTTGCAAACATGGGGGGTTTTTTAAAAGGACTTTTTCAGTGCTGAAAGTTTTTAAGGCAATAATGCTGCAGCAAAACAATTTTTAATGTGAACTGACTACGTTCTAAATGCAAATGTTGTTACTTTTTTTTTACGATGGAGGACATTTCTTTTTGGCTCCCTGGGAGGAGTGTAAGTAAATTCGTTCACAGGGTTTTTTTTGGGAGCTTTAGTAAATGTCAAATAGGTAGGTTTTCGAAAATTTGTACTTAGGACTTACTCTGAAGGCCGAATCGATGTTAATATTTTCAAAATGCTGGCACTTTCGGAAGTAGCTAATAACTTCATTATTTTAAATGGCAACCCCTGTTTTTTATTGAATTATTGGATTCTACGTGAAATATCCGTTCTTTGGATACCCACATGTCTATATCAAAAGAACTAAAATTTCACGTCGAATCGAAAAATGCAATAAAAAATATTTATATAAATATTTAAAACAATTAAGTTACTAACTACTTCCGGTATTTCCGGGAGTGCCACCATTTTGAAAATATTTTACGTTGATTCGGCCTTCAGAATAACTCCTAGGTATAAATTTTCAAAAACCTACTTATTTTACTTTCCCAGAAACGTTATAGATTTATTAGAACAGAGCTTGCAAACACTTTTAGCCCAGGAGTTGATCACGCCACATTTCGGGTTTCCATCATTTTGTTATTTCCATTGATCATTTTCATTTCATTTCATATGTCCTTCTAAAATGAAACTGGCCTACAAAACTATGTAATTATCTCGATAATGGCAGATTTATTTTTAGTTTCTAGTATTTATATCAAAATCCTTAAGCGGGTGCTTTAACATGTCTTTGGCATCCTTCACATAGTGCTACCAGGTAGAGGCAAACTCGTGGGCTCGGCGCAATTACTGGCCAATTTTCTGGGAATAGATTCTCGGGTAGATAATACTCTTGTTAGTGCAAAAAGTCTTATGTTATGGAACATTATACAGTGTGATTGATTTTGCGTGTCCAAGCGTATATTTCTTTTATTATTGGAGATAATAGTGTAAGAAGAAGAAGAAAATACTCTACTTTCAATTTCTGATAAGACTACATATTTAAAAAAAAATGATATATGATATAATGATATAAAAACAAAAGAGCATCAGAAAACAAATTATTTTTTTTTAATAGAACGGTTACTTTTTTCTGTGATATTTTTAAAAAGCTTGAAATTCTCTTTACAATGATATCAAATATGTTATAATTACCTTAGAAATTAAATCTGCAGTAATGTTTTTAAAACCAATCGCAGTAACTGAGGAAATTTAAACAAAAACAAAAAAGAGAGTTTTTCACTTGTCATACCTACTTGTCATCTCTCACAAAATCAGTTCAGTGAACATTTATAACTTATAAGAACCACAATGCAACAAAATAATAATTACACAAATGATAAATGTTAAAAGGTGTAATGTAGCTTGTAGTATGCATAGGAGCAAGTGCCATGTGTTTAAATTTGTCTTACGTTATAATAAATGTTCCTGCAACTGCTTTTGATTTGTTTTCATCGCTTCCTGTAAATTTTATGGCATTGTTTAAATTTTCACAGCTACTGCGATTGGTCGTAAATACTTTACTGTAGCTTTCATTTCTAAGGTAATTATAACATATTTGATATCGTTGTAAAGGTAATTTCAAGCTCTTTAAGAATATTACAAAAAAATCACTGTTCTATTTACAAAATTTTTGTTTGTTTGTTTATGGTAATTTGTTTTTATATCACTTGTTTTTTTAATGTGTAGATTTATTAGAAATTGAAAGTAGTTAATTTTTGCTTCTTACACTTTTTGCTATCCCCGATAACTAAAGAAATATACGCTTGGACACGCAAAAATTAGCTAATGGATGGATGTGTTCCAGGCGAGAGTATAGCATCCATTAGAATTCCATTGTACAAGATTGAAAGTAATTAATCAGATCGTTGCCTAGATTCAGGCAACGATTTTTTGGTTTGCTGGGACGTGTAGGAGTCATCAGTAACATATTCTTCATGCCAGTAAATGTTTTGCACTATATTGGGATTATTTTCGATGTTTTTTTACAATTTAATCATTTACATCGTTCATTTAATTTTTCAAACAAGATATAGATACTCAAAAAGTTTATGCTATCGCTAAGAATGGGAGGAAAAATAATTTTGAAAGGGGCCCGAAATTAGGGTGACTTTTAAATATTAATTTATAGCGCTTTTCAAGTTTTAATTACATTGAAATGCGGCATCCAAATTTTCCTTTACTTACACAAAATTTATACATATTATATTTTTCAAAATTTTTTTATTTCTGCCATACTTCCTCTTAGTTTACATAGAATTTCTTTATATTTTTCGTCTCTTTTCTTATTTCTGACAAATTTTCAAACTATTTCCTTCTAATTTTTCACTCGCAAACTGCCAGGTTTTTCAAGGGTTCGAGTGCTTGCAAGTTATTTAGTCCAAACTCTTGAGCCCCTGATTAATTACCAAGCATTTTTGAAAAATAGCTAATTGCAAGCGTTCTTGTTTTCAAAGTAGTTCAGTGTTTATGTAATCCAAGTAACTTGAAAACGCCCATCAAAACCACGTCTGGTATTAACAGAAATTAAGGAAATAATTAGTGGCAGAACCGTTCCCTTTTCCATCAAAAACTTAAATGTTAATAGACACTATAGCGAAACATCTCACTACTAAATAATTCAAAACCGCAGAAATAGGTGCATCCAAGATTAAAAGCAAAGCAATCAACTGGCATCTATTACATAATTTCTTTGAGGGCGTTCGAACTTGGTTCTCAATAATCAGCTCCTTTTATGTTGCGAACTTTCGGTGGTTGTAATGCACTTACTTTTTTGAAAATTAAGAAAACTATTACTTTTAATTAATGTCGTTCATCCCGAAAACTTTAATTACTATTTACACCCTAAAAATTAAGCTACAACGCGTTAATTCATAGGAAAGATTGTGTTACGTAAAAATATAAAAAGTGTACATACCTGAAAGAGTTGCGGGCACAGTCTTCGTAGCGTCTGTATTTTGTTGTTACTGAAGGTAATAATTCTGTTCAAGGCGTTCGAGTTATCCGTCTGTCTCTTGACCTAATTGTTTGAGAACACATGAGAAAAGTACACATTTATAATGAAGCATAAAACCAACCAAGGTGATTTTTCGTCGTTCGGTCGCCCTCAGACTTTTGACGATTGAGGTAAAGAAAAAAAAAGATGATCAGCTGGTTAACAAAACGATGATGACCGTGTATGTTTTGATCATTTCGATAACAGTTAGTAAGTAAACAAAAAAAAGCGGTAAGCATCATGTAAAACACAAGAAATTACTATGTTGCGCAATGTAACAAAAAAGCTGTAGGTGTAATCCAGTTTAGTCTTTATATAATCGCAATAAGTGAAACCTACCGGTAATGGGTTCATTAGCTAACAAGCACATAGTCTGTACTGGATGGGCCTCTTTGTTTTTATCAGGGCTGATGGTTTCTTTAGGATGTTGTAACTAATTACCAAATGATTGAGATTTGCACAATAAAGGACTTGGTTTTTTGCTCATTTCGTATACTGGGCATTATTCTTCCATCAGTTATGGTACTTTCAATGTCACCCATACATTAATTATTCATCTTCGATTTTGCATAGATATCGTCCGTAAATTTGAAACCATTACAAGGAAAATTAACTTTCGAATTGCACAAACAAGAATATTTTCAAGGAAGTTGCCGTTGGTTTTAGATGGGTATGTGTAGCAATACAATTATTTCAAAAGATAAGTCGTTTTTTAGTATTTTTTGTATGTCCAAATTGAGACGATTAAGTAAGACAAAATGAGGCGAAATAAAATCAACATTCTGACATAACCTTTTCATTCGATACGCGCCTGATGACGCATTGGTAAGTTCCATACTTTCACTTACTTTCATTGAACTAACACTTTCATGGGGCGTCTGTAATTCCTCGCATTTTACATGATTGATATATGCGGTTGCAAAAGCGGTTTTTTTTCTCGTGCAAAAAATCTTACCTGATGATGAAGTGGGCCGACTGCGTTTTGTTCTACAGTAGCAGGGGCCGCTAAACTAACCGCTAGGAACGCACTTAAAACACATACCACACCGACGCACTTCATTTTTTTGACTAGAACTTCTTGTAAACCGCACCTGAAACAAAAGTGCCATTAAACAACTGCTCAGTATACATAAGCAAAGCGCATACAGGTTATAGTCCGATGTGCGCTCGATTGAAATTAACGCTCGCCGCAACAATAATAAAAAATTACGTACCCGCGCCCTCCCACTATTGCAAAAAAGGGTCCGAAAATGTTAAAAATATTTTGAAAGTAAGGTTACACTAATACTCTTTAATTGAGCAATAAACATTCCACCGTAATGCAACTTTCCAAAGCTTTTTTTTTAAAAATGGGATGATACGATAATCTTACAAGTTGATTGTTGGAATTAGAGGAAGTTGTTGACGTAAGAACTACATGAAATGTGCATTTGAATAAAATTATTCGGGATGATTAGCAGGCGATGTCTATTACCTGCAATTGCAAAACATACGAACAAATTTGCCCATCACGAAGATCATCAATTATCATATACATGCAAGGTTAAAAAAGGCAAATGGGGCAACACGCTAATTAAATATGCACGTAAGGTTAAAGTTTGTAATAATACTATCAATTTTAATAGTCGGTCGTTAACACCTGTATTAAGTTAAAGTGTACCCAGCAAATGTTGCGAAATGTTGTTAAAAAACATAAAGAAAACCACATAATTGTAGGCTTGCGGAGATTACTTAAAATGCAAAACAAGAGGTCAGTCCGATTGTAAATTGTATTCTTGCAAGTATAGGGCCTAAATTCTAGAGTAAAGAATCTGCTCATAGTTCTTTTTGTAACTTGTTTCTTAATGATACTTTTAAAAGATCGTTTGAATTGAGCACAACTTTTGCAACACCTGATTGCACTATGTCATTGACATTTTGTAAAAACAAATCTATTAAATACCTGTAATTTAGATTCTATTAATTTTTCAATCTTGCGGTTTTATAACTGTATTGTGATTGTAGTAATTATGGCGAATGTGGTGGTGTCAAATTGCCTCTGCACAAAGCTTAAACTTAACCTGCCATGATACATGTTGACATGTAGTCGTTATGTGTTAACTATTTCTCTATTTTTGACTTTAACGTCTTCCTCACTTTAAGAAATGTTAAGACTGTTGCTAAAGTTATCTAGACACCATTCCGTTCGTAATAACGTTATCCAAATTGCCGTTGATTTCGGGCGCAAAAAGGGTCCTCCAATACTGCATTTTTTGTATGTCATTATAATCTAGTAAGTGAAATGATATTTTTAGAGCTTTTGAAATTCGGAAAACCATTTTTCACTTTTCTCCACAGTAATGAATAAGGACAGCTTTTCTAAAATGAACGTTTCTGGAATAAAGGCAAAATGTGTATGTCTGTTGTAAAGGTTTGATATTTAGCACGCTTTGAGTTAGTAACAACAAGGGACCAATAAATTTGAGTACTGTAAAGAATACATTGTTTTTTGCAATGCAAACAAGATAGGATATCCTTAAGTAAGACATATGCCTTATGAAATATGTACCAGAGTGCGCAGGAAACCACGTCAAAGTTCTCAATTTTGAAACTGCCCCAACTCTCAACGAAGGAAACCCCCTCTATTCCCTTCATATGTCAATTTTACTCAGAAACAACTTGTAAATTACATCACTACATATAAAATTAAAAAAAAATTGTTAAAATCTTACACGTGGATATTGTCGGCTATTAAGGAACATTTTCTGCACGATAATTTCCACGTCTACGAATGAATTTTGCTATACGAACCCTAAAATTTACGATTTTTTGACTTACAGTAGCAGTCGTTTTTTAGGGCCTAACATGATAATTAAAAATGTTACAATGGCTGCACGAAGATTGTTCTCGGTCCACTTTCTACAAAGACCGTTCATTTTAGACCTAGTAATGTAATTATACAATGCCCCTATCGTTCAGTGTTGGCGGTTTTTGTTAAATGACAGTTTTCAATTTAGAACTTGAATTTCTAAACATCCTGTATAAATTTCTTGAACAGTTCTTACATATTATTAGGTAATATTTATGTATACTATAAACCACGTATACTTGGATGACTGATTTTCCAAATCGAGTGGTTTGATATTTAATCGTTCATTTGTTTTATTTTGATGTAGGATATCTAGATTTAATTAAAAGAAACTCACATAATTAAAAAAACCGTTGTATATACACGGTGTCCATTTTTCCAGTGTCACTATGGGGATCTCACTTATCTTAAGAGATAGAAAGTTGGTTAAATGGGGGCAAAGTTGCAAATTTCCGTGCTGAATAAGAATCTGAAAAGAAATTTGAAATATCTTCAATACTTTTAAAGATATGACAAAAAACGAAAATTTCTGATTTTCGTTTTTAATTTTTTTATGGTAAACTAGTCGTAGTAGACATTAGCACATTATTCGGACACTTTTTAATGGAGATTTCAAATATGGCATCCTGTTTTTAATTACGTTCAAGATGACTGAGAAACACGTGGCAACTTTAGTTTTTCTTATGGGCGCCATATTGAATTTTGACATTTTGGGATTACGTCTTTTTTTCTCTTTACAACGATATATCACACATACTGCTTCAGTATCACATTTTTCCTAAAAATACAATTTTTCATTTCTTGAGAAGAGTGCTTTGGAAAAACAAAACGTTCTTTTGTTGTCAACAAAAGTTTGACAGTTTGATCCATCTGTCTGGTCGCAGCGTTGTCAGAGAAGTAGAAATTCGATTTTCATCTCAACCGCTTGCAAAATTGCCTGCTCATATTCATTGGGTCTATCACCATATTGCTGTCTACATCTTTTAAAAGAACCATATTCGCCCAAGTTTTTATGCATCAAAGAAAAATACCTCAAACTAGGTTGTTGCCCGTCATGTGGGCATTTCGATGAGAAGTGTAGTAAATTTGGATCATATCTCTTTGATCTGCATTTGAAAAAGGCATTTTCGCAATACAACTAGCATAAACCTAAGTGACACTACATGAAATAAGTCAACCTTTTGTTCACAACAAAAGAACGTTTTGTTTTTCCAAAGCACTCTGCTCAAAAAATTAAAAATTGTATTTTTAGGAAAAATGTGATACTGAACCACCATGAGTGATATATCGTTGTAAAGAGAAAAAAAGACGTAATCTCAAAATGTGAAAATTCAAAATGGCGCCCATAAGAAAAACTAAAGTTGCCACGTGTTCCTCCGTCATCTGGAGAGTTATTAAAAACAGGATGCCATATTTGAAATCACCATTAAAAAGTGTCGGAATAATGTGTTAATTAGAAATGTCTACTACAATTAGTTTATCATAAAAAAAATAAAAACTCTCTCTCTCTCTCTTAAGATAAGTGAGATCCCCATATAGTGGCACTCGAAAAATGGACCCCGTGTAGACGTATGGTAGGGGGGTTCATAACTTTTATCGTTTACGGTGACAAATATGAGAAAAACGTATTGCTTGTACACTATACCGGGTGTCCTATTTTGGTTAAGACTGCAGTGTATCTCGACCGTTTTTAAAGATAGAGATTTGCGTTTTTCGCGACACTGTGCAACGCAGTCCTTGAAAATAATCTGAGGTTAGAAGTAATGCTAACAAGCTGAAAACTATGTTTCACTTTTAGCATCGTCAGTTATGGTATATTTGTTTAAGAGTTTTTGAATCGACCTGAATTCTAATTTTTTCTTATCATTACAGATTGGACGTTGATGTGAGGCACGAAACCCAATTGATCGGCAAGAAAGACTTCTCTCAGAGGTGGTAAAAAGCAAAACACAACTTTTTTGTAACACTTTGTGTCTTTTATCTGGTAATAATTGCACATTTATATGTCTAGCGGGAATTTTTCTCATAATTGTGACTTGTTTGTGTACTTTTTGTATCCTTTTTCTGACAATAATAATTGTAATTTTATCATTTCAGATTCGACATTTCTGTGCACAGAGGATATCAATATGTGGAGAAGTGGAAAGTTTACTACGCGATTGTGTATCCATATTTAAGCTACATGCATTGGGGAGCGAGTGCACATACGCACAGAGTATTTATATTACAAAAACGTATAACACGCCTGATGTACAGTCTCAATTATGCTCAAACATGTCGAGACACTTTCACGTTCTCGTTTCTGTAATTGTTATTTACAATTTTCCGAATTAAAAATTAAAAAAAAAGGATGAGCAAATGATAAACGGTCTCCATTCGGGGGTGGCAAATAGGAAATCTCTCAATTTTTAGTTGTTTTTATTTTTTTGTATATTTTCTGTTGCAAAAATTTAAATTTTTTCTTCTCATTTCAGATTCGATATTTACTTGTACTACGGATATCAAAATGAGACCGGAAGCCAGCGGACAATGATTGACAATGAAGAATTTGACTTCTTTCGGGGACGATATATAACCTTTTTAGCTCATAATTTTGACTTGATTGTATATTTTTTGTATCTCAAATAATTGTAATTTTTTATCATTTCAGATTCGGCATTTCTATGCCCAGAAGATATCAAACTTGAGGTAACAAAACTCTAGAAAAGGATAAGCAAATGAGAATTGAACTTTTTTCCGAGGTGGCAAGCAGGAAATCTTCTATCTCAAATTTTAGCTTGTTTTTATTTTTCTGTGTTTTTTTCTGTTGCAAAAATTTTAATTTTCTCTTATCATTTCAGAATTTAGATCCGATATTCTCGCGCACCGGATATCAAAATCTGACCTGATGCCGCTGGAGAATGATCAGCGAGGCAGAATTGGACTTTCGGGGTTTACAAAGAAGAAACCCTTTTGGGAAGTACTGGTTAATGTATGAAAAATGCGCTAAAGTCACTCGCGTTAGGGCGAAAACCTTTTTACTTGTTTTTCTCGTTTCAGATTCCGACATTTTTGTGCACAAAGGATATAATGAGGCAACAAACCACTAGAAACGGACGGACAAAGACAAATTGGGCTTCTTTTGGCAGCCACAAACAGGAAAACTCCTTTCTCATAATTGTAACTTGTTTTTTTTGTATTTTTGGTGTATTTTCTTTTGATAGAATTATAATTTTTCAAGAAAACTTTTTTCTCATCATTTTAAAAATGGTTTGTTCCTTTTCCCTTGCAGTAATCGTTTTAGCATTTCAGATTCGTCATTTCTATGCACCAATGATATCAAAATGAG